CGCAAGGGCGGAGCGGAAGGCGGAGCGACGGAGGCAGTTCCTATTGAGCGCAAGTTAGCGCCCGCACACATTGGAAGACACACGTAATGATTGAATACTTACATCTTGACTGATGGTTGTGGTAGTGAGGAGATTGTGATGTGGATGGGATTGCGAGGATGGATTGATGTTGAGAGAAGAGGTTGTGTTGCGTTGATGGTTATCTTTCTGAAGAGAATGCGTCGCGGTCATAAATTTTTTTCCAGGAGCTAAAAATTTGGCGTGGCCTTGGACCACCCCATGATGGCGGACCCACCCAGCTATGGCCAATCAAGCATAGCTCCTACATGAGACCCTGGATGCTTCCCGAGCGTTTTTCATTCCATTCTACAACGAAAGTCGCACAACGACCGCGAGACTTGAAAATGAGGGACCCACAAGAAAGAACATAGCTGCTGTGTGTCTTGATATAACATTTCGATAGCGGGAAAATCGATGCAGTTCTATGGTGTCATGTTCGCCGTCTTCTTGGATGGCGAGCACCTGCAGTGGATCACGTCCGAACCACCGAGCTGGCGCGTATCAGGCACAACGGGAGGTGTGGAGTCGAGTTGAAGCTGGCAGATTAGTACTGCCCGCATCCCCAGTATTTCACGACTCGCTTTATCATGCTGTGATGCATCTCTCCCAAGATGAGGCCACTCGATGCCAGATCCTCAAACCCAGCGCTGAGATACAACTTCCTCCCGGGCTCCGTTCCCAGAACATACACACCTCTTTGCCCTCATCCTCGGCCTTGTCCAGGCCCCAGCGTATCAACATCGCGCCAACACTCCGCTGCTGATGGTGTTGGGGCTTACGGCAATGGTTTGGAGAGCTGCTCACTCGCCACGTTAACATCAGAGGTGTAGACTTCAAATGCATAGCTGCCCTCAACTTACTCCACACATTCATATGTCTTCTCCACCAGGCGACTTGTGCTTGAACTGTTCGGCGGTTTCCGCAAACGTCTTCGGTTGCCGGGCAAATGCTGTAAGAAGATGCCATTTTGAGATTTAATATCATGAGCAAACACTTTCGGAAGTATAGGATACATCAATTGCGTCTGGTGACCGTCGAAGTGAAATAGTTGGTGGAGCTATGAAGTGTAGGTATTGGTGGCTCACCTGAGCCTTGGTCGGCCCATTCCATAGCCACTGATAATCACAGACCAATATCCCGCGGGTACCATGGCTCTTTGCAGTCCATGCGAGGATCTAAAGAATTGAAATATCATTGGAACATGACAGCCGCGACTAGGCCAGCCACTGCCAGCACTACATCACCTTCCTTATCCGGCATGCCTCCGTCTTCTCCAAAGCAGTGGAATTCAAGAAATCTCGCTAGTGCGCAGAACCTAGGCAGAGTAGTGTTTCCAGTTACATTTTCAACTCGGCAGTGAAAATATGCAAATATCATGTATGTCATTAAATCATGTACAAGAATATGATTATAATGATTTTCCCATAGAAAAGCTCAAGGTCTCCCTCATAAAGAAACGCCGTTCTATGCGCCCCAACCCATCATGATGCATTCCGAACCACCAATGCAACCAAGTCCTGCGCCCGCTTCTCGTAATTTCATAAAATAAAATCATTCGTAATAGCTCATAAAAGTCGTGAGTGCCCCGGCCATGACTGGCCGAAGACAGGGTATCAATTCATTTTCTTCCTCCACACAATCTCAAACTTCTTCCATCAAAGCCCCCTCAGTTTGTGTTTTGATACACGGCCCTGAGGTTGCGACTTCCGGCCCCAACCTCAGCAGCCGGAGGCGGCAATCGTCGCAATGCTCGAGTATTCTGGCTGAACGCCCGGGGCGTCTCTTTCACAATCCAAAGTCCTGGAGATGCTGGCGGTGTCGGCGGCATGGCCATTGGTGGTGTTGATGGTGCTGGGGGTGAGGGTTGATCCGTGCCGATATCAGTCGCAAGGCGATCAGCAAAAGGCTGTAGGACGGCTGGGCCGTGTCCGAGTCTAGGGTTAGGCCGGTCGAAACCTGGCTCGGCGGAGCGCGGTCGCCGCAGGATCGGGTCTGCTGTTCGGCCCTTGGACGGCGAAGATAGCGTCTGGGCGCTCTTGGTAAGCCGCACACTCAAATCCCGCCGAACCTGGAAGGGGTTGGAACGGAGCGGGTCGAACTCGAGAGACATGTCGCGCTTGGAGCGGCCGCCGTCGAAAGACCCCCGCCGGCTGCGAGGTGGCGATGCGATGGGCTGCGGCTTCGTGACGACAATCTTCACTTGGGATGTTCCCTCGCTGTTTGGTTTCTCAATGTCCTCGGCACTCAACTCCTTGATGGACAAGCGCTTCAGCTCTGCAAGCCTCGCCTCGCCCGACAGCTCAAAGACGGCTGTCCATAGCTTTCCCTCGGCCCCAATCTCGGGTGTCTCGGCGCTGGATTGATTTTCGAGGAGGCGCTCACGGTCGTCCTGTGTCGCTGAAGAAGTTGAACTCTCGAAGGAGCTCCGGGACAAGAGACTCGGGCTGCTTTTGAAGGTGTTTTTCACAGCGAGGTAGACTTTGTTGGTGAGCGTCGACGGACACGGCGATGACGGGCGGGTGTTGGGGATGGGTGCGTAAGATGTGTTGGACACAAGAGTCGCTTGGCTTGTCTCGGGCGAAGACATGGGAACTGGCGCCGAGATCTGCCAATTCTGTAGACTCCCCGACTCAAGGTCCCGGTACCAGTCAGGTCTTCTCGCTCGTCGGGATACGACATAGCCTATGGACAGGAGCGTGAGGGTCGTGCAGCAGAGCGCAACCACGGCGGCTGGCTTAACAGCCCCATTGTGCTGGACAATGTAGATGATGGTGAAAGCGGCAAGGGCGACGGCGAAGATCACTAGTGGGACCAAAAGACACAGCTCCAGCCGAGTGAAGGCGCGGCGACTCCTCCTATGTACCACGGGACCTTCGTCGGCCTCTGGGTGTGATTGGAGCTTTGTGAATTCCCAGCGACCCATGGCGACGGAGGGTAAGGCAGACTGAGCGATGTGCCGAGTAGCTCAGTGAAGGTTGGAGCAGCAGGTACTGGGCTGTCGGGATTTCTGGCACCGGATCTGGAAGGGCTGGGCTTTCTATATGGTGTGCGGATGTGAGGATGTGTAAGACTGGGTTCTTGCTAGTAGGTTCTTACCGCGTGCACTTCTCGAAGGCCTCCCATGCCTCATAGGGCTGATGGGATATATCGCAACCTATAACCCATCCTCCAGACGCCCCAGCGCCCCAGCACATGGGGCACATCGCGTCTGCGTGGGGCGGCTACCTACACGTTACACTCTGCCGTCCGTGAGTTGCGAAGCACAAAACCGGGGCCATTGCGCTCCGTTCCCAATAGGAGGGATGTGGCGTCCAAATCGCGGCGCCATGCTCTCGACTCGCAGCGGGCGACGGAGCGACGACGGAGCGCCAAGGGGCACAGCCCAGTCCGCGATGCAATGGAGATGCAATAGGGCTGCGGGGGGGTCGTAGTGTGGCCAGTCAGCTTGCCGAGTCGGTCGAACCGCGCCCTGCGGCTGGCTTGCTTACTACGGCATGCGAGTGGCTAGGCCAAATCTCAAATATCGCTTTTCACTCTCCATCCGTCTCTCGTGCTCTCTCGTGTCTCTGTTGCGCCACGACTGATCGGTAGTGGAAGGAAAGGACGCGACAGGTGCAGAGCAGTGCGAGGACTCCACTCGCTACGTTACCGTCATTCAGGCAGACAATGTGTGTTGGAGGCTGGCAAGGTTGGGCACAGAGGCATTGGACGCTAGCAGTCCGGTCTAGATACACACCGCTCACTAGTTTCAGTGCTGCCTGTGGCGGGCCGAATCGTTCTGAGGCTCATCGCCATTCGAGTCGGCTATCCTGTTGCGGTTCCCGGGCTGTTCCAATGCGGTGGGCTGTGCGTGCCGACACGATTCGGAAGTTTCGATATCCTTGTTGTCGCAGACCTGATTTCGAGTCGGGTTCGACTGGCGGCCATGCCAGCTAATACCCAATCGACACCCGACTCATGACTGGTGGCGGCTGTCTGTGGTCGACTGCGCAAAGTGCCCCCGCTGCGACAGCACTGAGCAGACTCATTGTGTCCGTGTGACAACTCGCCACTCTCTCTGTTTTTTTTCAACAGTGTGCAATGGGCCGGAGATGCTCCCGTCCTAAAACCAGCCCCCCGGAACACGCCGCGGAAGAACGGTAGAGGTTGACAGCAGGATGACACATGTCGTGGTAATTCGCAGTCATCAAACTCTCAATTGCCATCCCGACCATGGAATGTTACCCCACTGCAGCTAGTGCCGCGCGATCGGGCTAGAAGTTTTCCAGAAGACTGTCGCGATTGCTAATAGGCCGTGGCAACGGCAAGGTTTGCAGAGCCACACAGCACTGCATTCTGCTCTCCTCCCCTCATGCAACAACCCGGCCTGTGTGTCTGCACCACTTTCTGTACCACCTCAGAAGAGGCTGTCCACCCAATCGTGAGATTCTTTCCGAGCTCCATCCGTCATGGTCTGATTGATACCGCCAGCTCCGCCAGCTCGGCAGCTCCAATCCCCGTGCACGCTGCGGCGTCACCGGTCCGAGATGTGAGCTCGTTGATCAGCGGAACATTCGTGTTGTGGCTGTTCTGCCTACCGGTTTCACCTGCGGTCACGTAAACAAACAAGTCCATGTACAAGAAATTGGATCACTTTCTGAACATGACCGGAGGATGACCCGAATCCACAATGCAGCCGTCATGCAAGACCAAGCCGTCCACGCCGTCATCCCGCCGCACCCGAAGCCACATCGCGAGCTCCCCACACCAACTCCACCAACCAACGTGGGAATCCACCAACCTCAGCAAACAAGCATACCCTTCGCCCAGATGCGCGATTACGACGCTCCAGTCCCATCAAGCAAGCAATGGGCGCGTAGCGCGGCTGGTAGCGTATTCACTTCGCATCAACGTGTCTGCGACTGGTCTCGAGTTCGATCTGTAACTCGCCCACAGTTCCAGCGACCGTGGTCTAGTGGTTGATCCAACCCTTCCAAGGTTGAGGGAGGGGTTCGATTCCCTTCGGTCGCATATCTATACTCTCCGGGGTACCAAGCCTTTTTTTATCCTGGCCGGTAGCTATTCGTTTTGCCCATCTAAGGCTTCCTGTGCTGAAAAGAGTGGCGGGACCAAGTCCTAGGACCTAGCTAAAACGGGCTTAGATGATGAACACAAACTGCTCAGGGGAAGAAAAATCCTTTGGGATCACTTTGAGCCGTTCAATTCACAGAGAAGTTGTCAAAATGCGTCCTTTTGTCCTCATCATTGCCTTCCTATGCCAACTTGCTCATCTCGGCCAAGCCCGATGGAAACGAAAGCTTCTGAAAGGGATGTTCTCTGTGCGACCACGGTCTCCTGAGGCATCGAAAACTACCTACTGGCAACGGATACCACTACGAGAAGCACGACCGCGGTCAAGTCTGCTGTGCATAGCCGGACGGTATGGCCAACAACTATGCCAACTCGCAGACGGTATCGTTGGTGATGGGTTCGGTGGGATGAGCTGCCCGTCCGGATACCCATCTTCTACGATTGACTACAACCAGGAGCGCTCGATGGTCGGTGTATTGATTTCTGCGGTTTATCTAGCGAATATCTCATCCTGCGGCGGATGATTGAGCCCCTTTAATTCTAGCAAATCTCAACTTTGGCATTTGCTCGGTCCCTCCTCCAACCACCTCCCAAAGCCAAATCGCCCTGCCAAAAGTTCCATGCTTTTCCTCTGCCTCGGCTAACGACAGGTTGGCCATTTCGTCAGCAACACGTCTTAACTTGCCCTCGTCATCAAACTCCTCCGCGAATTCAAGATCGCCTGATCGCAATTCAAAATCCATGCTGGTCCCCTTGTTTTCCAACAAAACCGTCATACTTTGTAGCCCCGGTAGCGGCCTCAGAGCAAAGCTCGCCGCAAAAAGTGACCCAACCTTTGCGCACCGCGGAACTGGCGGTAGGTCTCCTGCCCGGATGACCATGTGGCTGAAGTCTTGCATCTCGTCTGCCTCGACATGCTCTTTGGCCGGTCCCAGTAACCCCCATCCCCACAAGAGGCGCGCGTACCCGTGACCAATATGTCTGGCACCCGGGCTGCGCACAAAGAGCAGGTCGCGTCGTGGGTCAACGTCAAGCAGCGGGCTGAGCAGGGCGTCGCCGAAGCTGGGTAGGCCTGGGAGTGTGGCCCGGGCGAGGTGCCACTGCACGACGGCTCGGCTCTCGGAATACGTCCGGCCAAGGATCCAGGCAGTGCTCGTCGCCAGGAGGGATTTCTTGTTGGTACACCGGAACTTGGTGGTGTTGACATCCTGGCTCGAGGCGGTGGTCTTGGACGGTGCGTCCCTCTTGGGTGCTATGTCATCGATGAAGGCGCGGTGGCCCGTGAACTCGATGTTGACGATGCGCGGCGCCGTGGTGTCCTGGTGTCCGATGCAGAGGGCGAACTCCCATATCTCGTTTCGCAGCTCGGTAGGGAGGCGGCGGAACCTGCGGAACTCGGCCGTTGCTTTTCCTCTTGCTGTTGTGGGCGCCATCGGTTGGTGCTGGTGAAATGCTCGTTTGATCGGCGGGGCGAGGATGATGGTTGGTGAGATGACGGGCTCGGTGTAAGCGTGCTCGAAGGGGACGGTTCCGTTGGTGATGAGTAAGAGGGTGGTATCGGTGACGGCCCGTAAGCCGGGGAGGAATCGTGGTCGAGATTATAAAATGCGTGATCAGATCTCGAATTCGTAAAGTATGGATTGAGAGATGGCACTGATGAAGAAATTAAAATTGTTGGTGATGTGGTCATATGGTGCCTGTGCTTCGGTTTAGGCTGTGGAAGCACCAGTGAGAAGAAGTCAGGCTATGAATTTTTTTTTCCCGGGACAAGAAATTTATTAGAGAGAAATGGTAGAAGAGAGATAAGCTTTCTTGATGACGGGGTTTATGGGCAAGGCTATGAGGACGTCGAAATTAAGGCAAAAGGACGCCTCGAATCTATATGGGGAAGGTTTACACGATTGTGCAATGAAATAGCTATGGTTCCTGGCCTCATGATTGGCTACTTACAACAGCACCTGGGCATTCAAACATTACCACAATAAGAAATGTTCTTCTATTGTCACAAGACCTTCTTGGCGGCAATGCACTGACCTGATAGACATGATGGGGCCAATTCTGTGTGATGGGACTCGGTGTCACCTCCCGGATAAGTAGGTAGGTAAGGTGCCTAAGGACTATGGTAACTCGCTCAATGTAGGTAGGCACCTGGGCTGCTACGGCGCCCAGAGGAATACACATGGATCGTCCTCCTAGATACCTAAGGTTCGGCTAGGTAGATGGTCAATGTGTGGGGCATTATGCTATTTGTTGGCGCGTCTTGTTTGCTCCTGGCATTCTCACCCTGAAATACTGTATTCAGGTTAGTACAGCTTTGCTCAATTACACACCCATGCATGCGCATTCCTCCCCTCCCTCGCATCCTAGCAAGACGAAGTCTCGCGCTGCTGAACCACACCAAACAATGTGCAGATTTTTGGCCAACTTCAATTCAAAATATTCTTCAATTCAAAATATTCGAGACCGGTGTCAATGGGCGAGATAGGGGCTGCATCCTCCCCGCTGTTTCAGGCTCAGTCCTGTTGATGATAGGTCGAGAGAGCCAAAGTCAGGCCCCGAGACGGAAGCCTGCTCAGGCAGCAGCAAAGGCCATCCAGCTACAAATGGCCAACCGACGCAATGCGCACTCTCCACACGTCAATATCACAGTCCTTGAGCTCAATCACTCAACTCCAGTCTTCAAACAGCAAAGAACATCCCAACAACACATTCAATTCAAAGTACGATGTCGGACGAAATTGGCCATGTGTTTTTGACGAGATTCTGGATCTTCCAGGGTCTCCTTGCCGCGCCGACCTTTTTCATCTTTGGCATCTTCATCTTTGCGAGTCTCTGGGACTCTTACAATGGCGTCTACGACTTCGTCTGCCAGTTCTTCAACTGCCTGCTCGCCGGGAGCATCCTCTTCATAATCCTCGTCCAGCGATCGCTCCCGACGGCGAGCAAGAAGCTGACGTACCGATTCGAGCTGGCCAAGTCGGTTCTGGCCACGGCAATGTGGCTTTGGTTGATGTAATTATCTTTTGTCCCTGGCCTGACTCAGTTACGAATGGCGCTTTCCCGAAGACCGATGCACGATATCTGATGCACTGCATACCGATAGGCTTGACTCCATCTTTTATAAGCGAAGATACTATAACCCAGATCTCTACTACTACCGAAGGATCATAATATCGGCCATCTCCAGCACCGCTCTGTTGTAGGACCTCCCTTATATTGGCCCCTCCCAAATGCGAAAACACCCATTCACCATCTGATCATTTGGCAGCATCTTGTTCTACCCCACCGCTTTGTACACGGCATACCTTGTGCGGAAAGATCGACAGGAGGGCGGCGAGGAAGCGGCTGCAGCGGTGGAAGAAGCAGAAGGGAGACGAGATGCTGACGAATGGGCACCTCTGCTCCCGAATGAGACTGTCTGAGTTATGAGCGAGACCTGTGAAGCAGCATCTGGCATCCCCGGGCCTGGAGGCAAGGTCTCGGTAGTTGGCTGATTGCTTATCAACTACTTTGCACATCTATGGAAGAGGTCCACGCCACACTTTCGCCTTCGGTAAGCACCTAGGTAAGGTAGCTTTCCCATAGCATTAGGCGCGTAGCCGAGTAATCAAAGCCTTGAATAGTAATGTTTCCGCGCTGCTAATTAACATTAATAAGTACCTACCCTTTATCCGGCCCAGCACACTGATATCCTGAGCGTCTTTGATTTACTCTACACCTTCCTCCCTTCACCCCCAACTTGAAGTCAAGGCCCTTCCCTTATCTATTATATTGAAAAGCGAGCTCAACGAAGAGTCTTGTGCAACACAACTGATGCCCGGCTTCTTTGGGACTGCCACGCCATGGTACTCCCGACTTCCAGCGCCATTACGTTCAAAACTTTACGTGTAACTCGAGTCACCAAAGACACTGGAATTATAAAGTCCATTGCCGCGCTTATCGGCCTCGCTGATGTCGCTCTCCCGACCAGCTCCAGGCTCTGGACGCTGTCGGATGCGTGGCGCGACGCTCCCGCGGATCTGCGCTCGCTGCGGGACGATCTCGCAAACACGGAGCGCTTTTCAGTGAGATGGCAACGATAGCGGTACAGAGAAGCCGACCGGCAGGCCATCCGGCCTTTGTGCAAGAAGGAGGTTGCTCTGGTTGCGGCAATCGCCAAAAGTGGTTAAGCTCCGGGCCGAGCTGGGCCAGATACGAATCCAACATCTGCTGCTGGTTGATCATCCAGAATGTGTAAGACCTCCCGAGGGATCTCGTGAGAGTGGTAGAGTGTCGTGAGGCTGAACATCTTTCAGGTGCACATAAACCGAGATGCACTCATCGATGGAGAGCTCCCCGAACGCCAGCTTCTCTACTGCATTTGAGGAATCGCAAGATAACTGCTGGCCCAGCTGGACCAGCGTCTCCAGGGTGTGGAAAGTCGAGTGCTTGCCGCTATTGAGCGGCGGTAGCAACGGCAGCAGCAGCACCTTCCTCCTCCCGAGACATTACTCAGACCCATTGGTGGTCCATGTTCCTCTCTATCACCACCGCCCTAGCAACTTCGCGCCGAATCCCTTCCCAGCGGGCCTCCCTTTGCAATATGAGCTGTTGCTGCCCGTGCCATAGCCTCACCAGCTTCTCCCTGGTGCTATCGCGCCCGCCCATTCTGGGGGTTGCCACACTGAAGTATTTGAGCCGGGGCCTCCGAGCATGTCCCAGGAGCGAGTGCCAAGATTCTTGTTTTGAGCGGCGACCAGCAGTTTGGGATTTGCAGTTCGCCTACCACCTCCCGGATTGGCTCGCAAGAGTCTCAATTTTTCGGCCTTATTCTCCACCAACCTCAACGGGACGCCCCAGATGAACATCCGCACGTACAACCGTCGGGAAGAGGGTGACTTCTGGGGGTCACTAGGTATTGGACGACTGATCTTGCGAGGAGATATTGAAGGCACCAAGAG